TTTCATTGATCCTATCTTCCATCATTTCAAACCTGCTCCTCAGCCCTTCTATGACACTGTCCATTTCTGAAATCTTGTTGTTTATCTTTTGGATTTCTAACTGTTGTTTTTATATGATTTCTAGTTGTGAATTTATTTTAGCATTTTGTTCCTATATTATTTTCTTGAATTCTTCCATTTTTTGTCTGTATTTTCCATGAATTTGTCTATTGTTTCCTCATTTTTGTCTGCTTTTTGCTTCAACTCTTGGATTATTCTGAATATTAGAGATTTGAATTCCCTATTAGTTAAGTCTAGTGCCTCTTCCTCTACTGGAAGGTTATCTGGTGTTTTATTTTGGGTGCCTACTGGAACCATCCTGTCCTTTTTTTCTAAATGTTTTGATATTGTCTGCTGTCTTCAGGGCATTCGGTGGTTATTTTCCTCGTTTATCGACTGTAGATTTGTTTGTTTTGTCCTGCTTTTTTGTTTTATTTGGTGATGTCTGAGCAGGTGGGCTGTGTGTTCTTTGTTGTTTGCTCGTCTGTGGGCACGATACTTTTCACCTCCTTCTCCAATGGGCACGGTTGGTCACTCAGGTATGGTACAGCAGGGCAGGTCCAGCTGAAGGGGAGTTGCTGGGATGAGTTGTTTGTGGCACGTACCAGGGCTGACAGTGTGGACCGGGTCAGTGGAGGGCAGGTTCCAGTAGGCTGTGCCTGTGCTCCTTGGGACTGTGATGTTCAGCGCATGGTGCAGGTAGGTAGGAAGGAGGGGGTAGACTGTGATGTGTGGAGCTAAGATGGGTACGGGAAAGATGAGAGAGAGGAGAGAGGAACAGAAGGCAAAAACATATATACAAACAAAAAAAAGTGCTAAGGGAGCTTGCTATTGGAGTGGAGAGATTAGAGACTGAGAAACAGGGAAAAACAAAAAGAAAAAAAAAGAAAAAGGGTAAAAGAAAAAAATGAATAAATCGAGAAACTGGAAATGAAGAAAGACAAAAAGGGAATAAGAGAGAGAACAAAACAAAGAAACAAAAAAACCCAAAACAAAAACCAAAAAAAAAAAAAAACAAGAAAAAAGAAATGTCCCCAGGGATGTCCCTGTGCGTCTGCACAGAGTAAGGGAGTAGCTTCCAAGTTGCGCAGTACTGCCCAGCTAGAAGGGGCTCCCAAGCTGAGAAAAGAAAAAGAAAACAAACAAACAAACAAATCAAAACAGACCAAATCAGAGCAAACAAACAAAAAAGCCCTGGGGGTCCCACCAGCGTGGCGGCACAGGCCGGGAAGCAGTTTCACAGTTGAGCGGTGTTTCGCAGCCTTTCAGGAAGAAGCAAAGATGGTGCCCAGAACCAGGTATTTGAGAGAAAGGAGGGGGAGGTGGTAAGAGGTAAAGAAGAAATCTAAAGAAGCAGAAAAAAGCAATACCAGCGGCCAACAAAAGGCACTCAGGGAACCACCCGGTGCAGGCAGGTGGTATCCAAGCAACATTGGGATGAAGCTTGTGCTTCCTGGACAAGAGACTGTGGCTGCAGGAAGCAGAGGAGGCTAAGTGTGCATGAAGAAGGGTGGGAGGTGGGAAAGCCTATATCGCTGGTTACTGGTTGTTCTGTCTCCTGCTGGAAGCTCCGTGAAGCTGCTTTCTCATACCCCCGTTCGCTGATCTCCGAAAGGAGTCCAAGATGGCGGATCCGTGCTGTGGTAGCTGATAGGGGACCTCTGTGTGTACCTTTCCTCGCTCTCTCTTCTCAGTCAGTTTCTTATTCCATTCAGTGTTTGGCTGAGTTCTTTATCTCTTCATTTGATGCTCAGGGTTTCAGGACTGACGTGTGACTCTGTTTGACTTAGTTTTTCTGATCTTTGCTGCGAAGGGACAGTGTGGTGCCTCTGACTATAGCTCCATGTTGCCCAGAAGTATGTTCATATTATTAGGAGCCCTGTTGGTGTAATGGTTACACGCTCGGCTGCTACCTGAAAGGTCGGTGGTTCGAACCTACCAGTGGTGATCTGCTCCCGTAAAGGTTACAGCCTAGGAAACTCGATGGGGCAGTTCTATCCTGTCCTATACAGTTGCTGTGGGTCTGTATTGACTTGATGGCACACAATGTCCATATTAACATTATACATGGGATATACTTATAATTAAAATGTACTTGCTGTTTATTTGAAATTCAAATTTAACTGGGCATCCTACATTTTTATTTGCTAAATCTGGTGACCCTGGTAAAGAGTAAAACACGAAAACCTTCCTTCACCCTTCAACTCCACTCCTTTGCAATGGTAACCAATGGTCACAGTTGGCATGTACACTTTCAGTTATTTTCTTTGAATCAACTACATATGAGCACCTATACAAATATACCAACACACACATATCTTATATAAAGAAGATCATGCTGTACACATTGGTTTGCAACTTCTTTTTTTCATTTATCAAATGTCTTAAGATCTCTCCATGTCACTACATATTGATCTACCATAGTACTTTTTTTTTATATTTCTTTTTTTATTTATTTTTTGTTGTAGTTTAAATGAAGTTTACATTTCAAGTTAGTCTCCCATACAAAAATTTATACATATATTGTAATTGCTCCCCCGATACTGTGACAGCACACTCCTCCTTTCCACCCCTGATTCCCCATACTCCTAACCCTCTCTGTCTTCCTGTCTCACCTCTGGACAGAAGCTGCCCATTTAGTCTCTTGTATCTACTTAAGCTAACAGGCACACTGCTCATGAGTATCACTTTATGTCCCACAGTCCAGTCCAATCCCTGTCTGAAAAGTTGGCCTCGGAAATTGTTTTAGTTCTGGGCTGTCTACCATAGCACTTTTGATGGCCACGTGGTATATTGATAAATATAAACTATTGTCGGTTTTATTTTTTTTTTTTTGCTCTAAAAAGGAACATAGCTAAGAATATCCTTGTACTTACAACTTTGTGCATGTGCATATTACAGTCTGCCTCTTTAAAAAATTTTTTTTTAATATTTTATTTTTCGGTGAAAGTTTACATAGCAAGTTAGGTTCCCATTTAACAATTTCTATACATGTTGTTCAAGCCCTGGTGGCGTAGTGGTTAAGAGCTCAGCCGCTAACCAAAAGGTTGGCAGTTCAAATCCACAAGCCGCTCCTGGAAAACCCAATGGGGCAGTTCCACTCTGTCCTATTGGGTCACTATAAGTTGGAAGCGACTCAACAGCACCTAACAACAACAACAACATACATATTGTTCAGTGATATTGGTTACATTTTCCACATTGTGTCAACATTCTCATTATTTCCATTCTGGTCGTTCAACTTAGCTCCTTTTCTTTAAGTTCCTCTGTCAGCTATAATCTTTTAGTTTCATTTACAATGGAAAATATTAAGGTTTAGAGGTAGTTTGTTTTTCTGTATTATCATGAAGATTACTTTCTACTCTATTTTTCACTTGGACATCCTCAGAATTCCATTCCCTTTTCCTGTGATATTCCATATCTACCACGTCTACTGCAGATCAGCAAAGAATGAACAATTTTTACCATGGCTGGAACACTGCTCAGAATATAGATCCTGAACTGTTAGTCCAGTTACTGGTCACAGGCTCACATTACTCAGCTGGTTGGCATAAATTAATCATTAAATCATTCTCTTCCAGGCCCCTCCTGGTTCACATCCTTGCTAATCTGCAGGTTCCTCAGAGTCCTGCCCATGGACTCCTCATAATAGCTAACACTCACTGAGCACTTCCTAAGTCCCAGCCACTTTCTATGGGCTTTACTTTGAACTCATTTCATCATCAGGACACTTCTATGAGGTAGACAGTATTATTAGCCCCATTTAGAGATGAGGAAGCTGAAGGCAGAAAGGTTAGGTAAC